ATAATCATGTTTCCCCCGTAATGGGTGGAGACCTCAACCCCCCCCCCCCCCAATGTTCCAGCCAAAGTTACGCCCTTGACTTTGGCCATGGGAGGAACTGCCATGACTGGTTCAGAATGCATGAGACCGGAGAACCAGGGAGCCATACACAGAAGCAGGAAACAACAAGAGTAGGGGAATCAGACACAAAAACAGACGTGGCACACATGACTGGGGAATCAAGACAGGAACAGACAAAACAAAGTAGACCCAGCAAAGATGGGTGTGGGAACTAAACAAACCAGAGAAAGACAAGATCAAGGGAATCAAGCCCAACTGGTGGGGCACAAGAAGGCCGGACCTGGGTCACAGGGGGAAGGTCAGGGTGACAGAACCTCAGATGGGATAGATACTAGGGAACTGAGATAGGAATATGGGCCATTGGAAAAGAGACAGACAAACCACGTACGCTACACCAAAACTCAAAAAATCACAACAACCAAGGCCAGTAGGTAAACATGAGGGAACAAAACGGGAGACCCAGACAGGATGGCACACAGACAGGGTACCAGGGCAGAGGGGACCAGGGAACACCAACTGGGAGAAGGGACAGAGACAAGATTGGATATAAAGGGTGCGGACTGGGATTGTACCGGGGCACAGAAGCAAGGGGGAAGCAGGAAGCTTTGGGGCCCCAGGGGAAGGTTAGGGAGCATCGGTTGCCAGATCGGCTGCCAGGGTCCCCACCAGTCCAGATGATTCAGTATCCAGGCGAGCAAGGAGAGCAGCCAGAGACTCAGAGGTAGAGGACCTGCAGGTTGGGCCCACCCAGCGACTACTGGTGGTCTGGGGAAAGGGGCAGAGCTGGATGGGTGAGGACCTGAATGCCAAAGACAACACTTATGATGACTGGGTACCTAATCTCACAGGGATCAGAACTGAGAGAGATGCCCGGGGGGGTCCCCACTCCAAATCCTCAGGTGGGGTCTCCTCTGGTCTCTATTCCTTCAGACTCGGCAGAGGCATCCAGCACAGGAAACTCAGGAGAGTGCGAGACCATGCTTATGCAAGACCCACAAAGAAGGCGAGTCTATGACAGGGAACCAGAAAACCAGCATCCGGAGTGACAATGACCCATGGAGCATGCTGGGAGTCAGCTGACTGTGGTGCCACAGATGGGATTTCAGCAGCTGATGAAGTGGTCTGGACTTGCTGAAAATAAGATTTTATGTAAAATATTAACTTGCAGTAAGGCACTTGAATAATTCACATAAACGATGCAATGTTACATTATTTTTATTCTGTGACGAATGAAAGATCGATCTGCTAGCCAGATTAAAAGTAAATAAGTCACAGGTTGTACACATGAAATATTGTGGCATTCAAGTGGCAAATAGATCATGCGGTGGGCTGCAAAGTTTAGCAGACCCTTTTATTGCACAATCCTTAAAAGGACAACGTTAAACAGCGAGTTAGACTACAGGCAATCAAGAACAATTCAGTTCAGAAAAAAAAGTGTAACTTTACTTTCACCTCCACATTTCTGTTCCATTCTTTTTTAAAACCAGTGGAAACGCAGGTTGGTTCTCAAAAGGAACCAAGCCAGAACCAGCCCAGCACCGGCTCCGTGTTGGTGGAAACAAGGTATTTGGCTGACCGGCCTGGGCATGGGAGAGCCGAACAGAGTGATCCTCCCGGGGATAGGAACCTGGGGAACAGGTGACACTTCATCTGAAGAGGCGGCCTCCCCTGAGCTGGACATGAGCAGAGCAGCTTCTCCTAGGTCATGCACAAACAGGGCGACGACCTCTGGCTGCACTGGGTCAAGTGAGGCAGGGTCGGGTTGGACAGGGTCAGGCAAGGTGGGATACATGGACTCAGCCTGCCTCTTCTGCTCTCTCTTCTTATAACCAGACCCTGGAGCAGCAAACAGCAGGCAGGCTGAGCTGTGGAGAGACAGCAGGTTGAACTGCAGAGCAACTGGTGGACGACTGGTGAAGATCTCAGTAATGCTTTGTCAGTCAGATGCTGCCTGCCACTGGCATCTTGCTCCTCTCCTTCTGCTCTTTCTCTGAGCCCCAGTAGAGGTTCACTCTGTAGGAGAGGAAGACACTCAGGCTGGGCTCTTCATCTCTGGAGCGGTCCAGAACCGGTCCCCTGTTCTTAGCGGTTTCTCATTGTCAAACTCCGGGGGCAGCAGTTTGGTCAGGAGGTCCTTAAGGTTTTCAGGATCAACGACCCGAAGACCCAGCCTTTCTGCCAACGAACCAGACTGATTGTTGCTCCAGGCAGGGGAGTCCCAGGTATCCTCCACATCATCAACGTCACTGTCACTCAAGGGATCGGTGAGCGAGGAAGCTAGGGATGAAAATCCTCAGAAGAACCAGGGTGTGGGATCCAAGGAGCAGACAGACAAGTAAAGCTGAGGCGGCTCATGGGAAAAGTTGCTGGATCATTGTGTCGTGTTTGTCAGGCAAGACATGACCCAGATGCAACATTCTTGGATTTCATTGGGCAAACACCCCCAACTACACATGGGACAACAGTGACTGAGCTGATCACCAACAACAGACAGGTGTATGAGATTAACACTTTAGGGCAGAGAACAATCAGGAGAACATCAATAATGGGATACCGCTGGGGAGAATAAGGAGGGTTATGGAGGGCCAGCAGCGACCTCTACTGGCCCGATTGGACGGAGACGGGGACCGATAATGACGCTACCAACCATGGGATTGGATCAGGCCAAGTTTTAAGGCACAGGGCCACACATTAGTTATGAGATGGTTGAATGGATTTTAATACAAGTAAAACAGGTAAATGAAATAACAAATAACCACGTCTCAGACTGCAGGTCTCAAAGTGAAAGTTATTTGATAAAAAATAAATAAAAACACTGTTATTTATTTAAGTGACAATTTTATTCAAAGTGACATATAACTGACTCACCTGTGTTTGTGGCAAAACGTTTTGATTGAGAAAAAAAACTATATTTTTATATACCATGTCCGTGGTAAAAAATTGCATTTTGAACAAAATGTCCGTCAGAATTCACTATGATATTCACGCCTGCCCTGGGGTAATTGTGGTTAAGGGCCCGTCAGTGAAATCACTGTTCTGACCCAATTTCTATCTTTCTGTCAGTCCTTGTAATTTAGCTGTTTATTTGGAACAGCAAAATATATAACAGAGGATACTCTCTGAAAAAAATCTAGTAACATCTCTTTAAAAATTATGGTTATTTTAAGCAGGGAAAATGAAGACGTGATAACAGAGAATGTGATTTTCACATTTTTTGCGAGTAAATTAGTGTTAAGAGAGTTCCTGGGAAGACCCTGGTCTTCTGACTCTCTTCTGTGTCCAAAAACCTATAATTTAATACATGATTTTTTTTGTAGACTGACTGATATTTTGGTCATTTATAGACCATACTTCATTTTAATGGCTTTTGCTTTCAACAGGCTCACAGAATTAAGCTTATGCTTAAATATCTGGTTTTTCTACTTGATCACCCATAACAATCCCTAAGAGGTGGACTGTTCTGGCCAGATAGATAAACTCATGCCTTCCTGAAGATCAATGGTCGTGATCGAGGGCTATGAATGACCTCTGAATGACCTCTGTTTTCCCCACAGTGCTTGGAAGTGGTAGTGGGATTTAACTGGGAACCAGTATCAATGTGGAATATCAATACGAAATGTCATGAGTAGTTTATATTTTTTTTATATATTATTTAGACTAGTACATGCATTCCATGCGCAGCTTCGTGACCCACAGCAGTGTAGCGTTTTAAATAAGAAGCCAATGTTGCATGGTAGATAGTTAACATTTATACATTATTTATTTTACTTTATCAACCTTTATTTAACCAGGCAAGACAGATTAAGAACAAGTTTCTTATTTGCAACTGTGGTCTGGCAAAAGGCAAAGCCTTTTGAAGGAAAATTAGAGGACTAATACGGAAATAAAAGTTTAAAAAGTAAAATAAATAAACAAAATAAA